AAATTACAAAATCAAGAAGAAGAAAGGACTAAAGAAACTCAGGAATTTACAAGAGGATGTTTTGCTCGTTTCGAGTGGAAGCCCTCATAACAGTTTGGTGCTCAACTTCCTCTTCAGAAACAGGGAGAGAGAAAAGCTCACTCATTATGATTAAGCTCTCGAGAAACCTACAGACCATTTCTATCTTTTTAGGGAAATTGTCTAGCTTTTTTGAAGGTATACTTGTACTTTTTTTATTACCTTTTCAGTCTTGTATGTCTTTTCAGTGAATTTCTAGCACCCGCTCTCTAAAACCTTTGTATCTTCTTCCCATCAATGAAATTTTTATTTTGGTGATATATTGAAAAGGCAAAATTCATTGATAAAAAAGAGAGGAGACAGAGTTTAGTGAGTGGATACAAAGAGCTCGCTCACAGAGATTACAAATATATTCCCCAAAAAAATAAAACAAAAAGAAATAACTCATAATCATGGTGAGTGCAGTTAGTGTATCTACCGCTTCCATTTCCCTGGATCTAGGGAGGGATCCAGCAACATACTGAAATGTGGGCTTCCGCCCAAAATAATGATACAGTCATCCTGAGAGTTACTAAGATCTGACATTCTTTTCTTCTTCTTCCTAGATTTGTAAATCTGTCAATCATCTGCAAGAAGGAGTCTTGTGTGAACAATAGGTGAATCTTCGATGGAGGTAAACTGTTAATCTGACTCAGCCTTCAGCATACATTGATCCTGACACTCCATAATTTGAGTACCCTCTTCTCTCGCAATAGGTGGTTCCAAGACACTTAGACTAGCATCTGCTGCAACAAAATTCGTAGAATTTGTAATTTGAGGAAGAGCTACCTCAACAACAGTAGGCGGAAACTGCTGATCTAGCTGGTAAATAGCGTTATGAGTCAAATTCTCATTTAACCTTTCTGGAAAAAAGATTAACAATGTCTGCTATATTTTCCTCCACATGGATGGTGTTGTTAGGACCTGCAGATCTCAAATGTGGGTGAAGTCTGAAGCAATTGACAGGGGTGTGCGCAAACATTTTAAAGGGATTGCAATAGTAAGGTCTTTATTTTGCTATAATTGGCTATCAGTACCAATTATGGGCAATATCAAGTCATATTTCGTCCACAACAGGGAGGGTGATATTTCTTTCAACATAAATTCTTGCAACCGAAGGTCTGGTTAGATTGAAGGTGGGTGTATCCAATTTCATAGATCTCCCTAGTGCAGCTCCAATAGAGTAGATAACTTGCTGGTTGAAGTAGTGCAACTTTAGGCCATGTAGTTTAAACCAGATTGGAACTATATGTGGTTCTTGACTACGGTCAAATTCAGGAGACGGAACTATATGTGGTTCTTGACTAGGGTCAAATTCAGGAGACTTTTGGAAAATATTTTGGCATAATCTTCCACTTTAATAATTGTATCATCACATGTCTCCCATCAAAGAGACCAACCTTCCAAAGTCTCAATAATTTGAGATCTTTAAAAGTCTTTCGAACGACTTTTATTTTGGGATGTCCCGATTGGAACATCGCAATGAGGGTGAATTTGAACTTGTTAACCAGGTTGAAAGCTTCAACATCAGAAAAAAAAATAGAGCCAGTTTACCACTTTTCCTGCCCGTCTTTTTGATAAGGTTGCAGTCCTCCTGGCCTTCGAATGATTCATGGTAAACCTGAGGGAAAACCTGATCAAATCCCATAGAGCAAACCATATCAACAAAAGAAGTCTTCCCAAGGTTTAAAACTGTAGTAGTCGGTGGTTGAGAGGGAGCAATAGCCACGGAAGGGAGCAGTTGAACAGCGGCAAGCTCCTGGGTTTGAGTCGTGACTTCAATTGGAGCTTTTTGCTGCTTGATACGCCAAGCAGGGATCAAGCAACACGTCACAGCAAGGATCGCGGCACTGTGCAAGCTGTAGTTCCGCCGCTACCTTCCCAATGAGCTTGTGAGACGATCAAGAAAATTACACGATTGATTGAACGATACAGAAGAGCGAAGCGAACGAGCAAAAGGTTGGGCACGGCGACGCGATCCCCCACCCTTCTTCTTCAAGCAAGAGTCTATGAACCGCTGCGGCTACCCGCATCGCCATGGAGTCGCGATGGAAGGATTATATATAAGTTGTTATCATCATTAAATAGATGCACTATCAGGATTGCATGAATTATTCATGTGATCTGTGTTGCATAACCAATATCAAAAATAGTTAATGTGGATCATAGAATGTGATTAGACTTCAATAACTTGTCAATAATAATCATTATAGAGAACTATTGTAAAAAAAATACTATTTGCAGTTGTCAAAACATCTTTATATTTTGGAAATTCAAACTAGTATAGCCTATAAATTGTTATTGCAATCTTTATATTTTGGAAATTCAAACTAGTATAGCCTGTAAATTGTTATTGCATGTGTGTGTGTGTGTGTGCGTGGGTGTGTGTGTGTGTGCGTGTGTGTGATATCAAATTTTAGTAAGTTTCAACAAATCAAACAATATTTTTTTAGTCAAGTTGAGCCGTGTTGGTGTGTCGGGTCAATTTTTAACACCCACACACACACACACACACACACATATATGTGTGTGTGTATAACCCTAACCCACCTTCACACATTGTTCTTTTTTCTTCTCTACCACGCGATGGTGCCTGGAACAGATCCCCACCAGCGACAGTGATTGAAACATGTCACATTTGGCTCTTGGAATCATTGCTTGGTTCGTTAAAGCTAAGGCAAGAGCTTGAAAATAAAACTTTTTTTTAACTTCATTATAGCTAAAATGAAATTTGAAAAGCTTGGAACAACCTCATTTAAATTTTATCATAAAATATTTTGTAATTTTGTTGAGGTTTTATTTCTTATATTTCTACAATCTTATATGGGTCAATTATAGCTTTATTTTTGTCATCGCATACGAGCTTGGATTTGAAATTCTAAGCTACACATTTCCAATTAATTTGGCCAAATTTTATCTCAAAGATTTTTCTTTATATTTAAATAGACTTATACATATATACACATTTGACATTTCTAATGAACAATGATAATATTTGTGGAAGAATCTTGTGGAAAAGAAATAATTTCATGCAGAAATAAAGTACACATAATGACATAAATGCAATACATTGGATAAAACAAATGTTTGATTAAAATTAGTTACATTATATATTGAAAAATCTTAATCCACCATCACTCCAAACTCAAATTTCAACCTCCCCTCTTAAAATTCCAGTTACGCCATTGACAACGACCATTCAAATTTATGTGATTGGAGAATCAACCCAGCAGTGGTTCAAACAAGTCGTGCCTAATAAAAAATTCATCATGCGTGTTCTATATCATCCTTATTATTTCTTCTTCATAAGTTGCTTTTCCTTATCCTCTTTCAACATCAAATAGAAGACATTTTCCTGTTCACATCATATTTTGCACTTATTTTTACTATAACTAAGATCAAATCAAAGAAATCTGCAATTTTTACTTGTTAAAAGTCAGTTAAAGTAATATTTCGGACTTAATAACCCACATTCTACTTGCATTCGACACTGTAAATGGCATGTTTAAGTTACAAAGAATCCCTTCCAAGCGCACAGCTTGCTTCTTGAAATGACATGCCCATAACCTATGCATGAATCATGACCACATGTTAACAACACCCATCAATTGGCTACCTAAACCAAAATAAGCAATTGCATAATATACTACTATAGATCTAGCCTCTCAAATAAGAAAATACTGAAACCATAATTTTCATAAAGTCCCTTACTTACTCAAAGAAAATGAAGACCAAAAGACTTCACAATCATTCTGCTCGATTTTCTTTCAACAACGGACTAACATAATCCTTCAAGTTCACTTGACAAGCTAGAGAGCACAGTTACTTGTGTGCATTTTCCCCAACACTATTGTTGGGACAATTGAACGAGCAAACACATTGTCTAGCATTGAAAAACTCTGATTGGTGATTTAAAAGAGGTTCCTAGAGGCACATTACAAGAGTTCAAAACGTTTCAAAATAGAAACATTTTGCCACAAAAGAAGCAATGATCATGACTCACCTTTCAGCCAACATGCCCTAAACAATCAACTTATCACAAAATAAATAACGATAAAGCTCCCCAATGATCTTCAGAATGGGGATTATGTTTAGAGATAAAAACAATTCTAAGAAAAATAATATTCAAAGAGACTAAATGGTTGTTTGTTTTGCTCAAGAAAAAAAAAGCAGTACAAAAAAAAATGCAGCACAAGGTAAAAGTAAGTGATTGAAATATAAATATTGTTGATTGGATGAATACACTGTAAATGTAAGAATTTTTAATTTTGTGTTCAGGTAAGTACATTAAAAAAGGAATGCAGTGTAAAACCCATGAGCAGCGGCCCGTGGCAACATCCGGCCGACCACGGCAGCAACTGGCTGAGGGCAGACGGCGACATAGAGCAAACAGTGGCAGTTGGCAACAGGCAACTAGTGACGGCAGCTAGCATTCGTCGACAGCAGCGACAAATAGTGGCTAGCGGAGGAGCCCATCGTTGACTATAGCGGTTGCGATGGCTGATGGAGAAGTTACTAAAGGCCCCAATTTAAAGTGTATTTGGAAATCACTAAAAAATCACAAAAAATGAAGCAAATTTGAACTAGCTGAAAATGAACTAAAGACTAATTTTAAATTCATTGCAATTTTACACTGCATTCCATTTTCTCAAACCAAACAACCATAATTTCAAAACCCCTGCATTTGGAATGCGTACCCTCTTTTGCAAAAAAACAGAGTTTCACAAGGTTCGCCAGAAATGCAATAACTACCGAGGGGTGATATGGGTACAAAATACGACGCCTTCCAGCTGATCGCACTACAGCAGTAAGAAATACAGGATAGAATCTCGTTTGACCGCCTTTCCTTCGATATGTAAGAAGCTTATAGAAGAACCGTTGCGTTTAACAATGTAAAATAGCAAAAAGAAAGAAATTGTTTTGAGAAAAACTAATCGACTTACTGATCTCAGAGATAAATAGTAAAAGGATGGCGACGGAGGAGACGATGGTGATCAGCCCTCCAGAGAGCGTTCGATTGTAGAAATCCTCGTTTACTTTAGGGTAGGCGTCCAGATTCTTCAGCTTGTTGAGGATCTCCATAACTAAGATCTGCAATCGAAGCCCTAATCGCTAATCATCATTTTTGCAGCGCCTCAGCCGTGTTTTCAGTGGCAGTCCCTGCGGTGGCCGCAAATAGTCCAGCTAGATAGTTATGAGTTTGGATTTGAGCTTAATTCCACCAATTCAAATTGAATTGACTAATATTAAAGATAAAAAAAATATTATTTGAAATAAATGAAATGATAAATCAAATAAACATTTAAAAAATAACTAATCAAAATTTATTTGAGATAAAATATAAAATAATCTTTTTATCATTTTTAATAATTTTAAAAAAATTTATTTAAATATATTTTTATTACTCATTTAGAAATTGAATAGACATGCTAGCTCATCAAGCTCAGTTCATAGGCCACTTATCAAATAGAACCTAAACCAACTCACAAGTCAGTTGTGCTCACAAACTCCTATAGTTATCAAATTTTTAGAATATATTTAACTGATTATTTAAAATTATAAGAGAAAATCTAACCAATAACAAATTGATGAGATTTATTAAAATATTATTTTTAAAGTTTTAAAAATTTCTAAAATTCTGTCTGACACTATTTAGTGTGATTGTTGCTCAAATCATATACAATAGTACATCAAAGAGCCCTTTAGAACAAGTTTGATATGTATCTTTCTATGTATTAGTATCATGCATAAAATATTTATAAATAATATATAAATAAAAAAAATTATATTTTTGTTCGTACAAACTTGTACAATGCATATTAAACTGTGAAAAAAATTTATTTAAATATATTTTTATTAATTATTTTTTAAATTAAAAATTGAATAGACATGTTAGCTCATCAAGCTCAGTTCATGGGTCACTTATCAAATAGAACCTAAACCAACTCACGAGTCAGCTGTGCTCACTAACTCCTATAGTTATCAAATTTTTAGAATATATTTAACTGATTATTTAAAATTATAAGAGAAAATCTAACCAATAACAAATTGATGAGATTTATTAAAATATTATTTTTAAAGTTTTAAAAATTTCTAAAATTCTGTCTGACACTATTTAGTGTGATTGTTGCTCAAATCATATACAATAGTACATCAAAGAGCCCTTTAGAACAAGTTTGATATGTATCTTTCTATGTATTAGTATCATGCATATAATATTTATAAATAATATATAAATAAAAAAAATTACATTTTTGTTCGTACACACTTGTACAATGCATATTAAACAGTACACTCATGCATCTTAATAAACATTACACTTAATAAGTGAATAATTAAGATCTTGATAGAATGTATATTTAATGATGATTTAATTACTTGTTTGAATGATTTCTTTTGTATTCAAGTATCAATTTTCTTATATCATATGCATATTTATATTATTTTGAAGCAAAAGTACTATAACAAAATCAAACAAATAACTAGATAAATATAAACAATATTTTGAAGGGAATGTACATACGTAGCACACAATTATTATGTATTTACATATCTCACAACTAAAGCTTCATATTTACATACATATAGCACTTCGATGCTTTAAACCTATAAATGATATCTCACGACTAAAATTTCATATTTACATACATATAGCACTTCGGTGCTTTAAACCTATAAATATAAACCTATAAATGAAAATATGAATTTCACTTTTAAAAAGTGATAATAGTGTCATTTTTGATATGGTATGTGTGTAAATATGAAAGTTTAGGTGTGAGATATGTCAATACAAAAGAATTGTGTGCTATCTATCTAAATGCCCCTATTTTACATATCTCTTATGGCAAAAAAATATCAATCTTTAAAAAACAAAAAAAAAAAAAGTTATTCGGCTCAAGTCTATTTATTTACAGCTCAATATATAAAACATAAAACAAGTATCATAATGGTAGCTCCTCATTGCCATGACTTTTCTGGGCAAGTGAGAGAATGCAGAGGGTATGAGGAAGAAAGAAGTAGATGGAAAGGAATACCAAGACTCCAAGATCTGCCTCTTCGCCAACTGCTGGTTGTGGGGGGCTTCTCAGGTATATTTGAATGATGCACCAAATGCAATAGAAACTTGCCACCACCAATATTAATCTCAATGATTTGTTCGAATTTGTTATGATGGAATCTCCATGCTTCACTCTGTAGAGAAACATGAGAAAAGTGTCAGTTAAGTGTCATGTAAATATGGATTTACCAAATCCTGCCAATGCCGAGATTTAGTAAATCCGGAATTTATGGCGAAGCTGAAAAGAAACTGGATTTACTAAATTCAGGAATTCAAAAGTTGTCACAATATTGAATTTAATCCGACTTAAATTTTGTTACCAGACAACCCATAAAGCAAAATATACTTTCGGAAGGCGTCAAATAAGACCAGAATTCCATTAAAAAGGCAATTATGAAGAAGGCATCAAATAAAAAAATAAACTTTACGAAGAAAACATTAGAATCATTGGAATGTTCAGATTGGTTGAACAGTCAAACTTATATAATGATTCTCCTTCTGGAGTTGCCTCCATATCTTCTTTGATAATATTATTATCATTATCATCATCATTAATCTTATCGCATTTAGATGTTTACTAAGAATACTTATTTTACATTCAACAGCTCTGGTGTGGTAAAGGTACTAAACATATTATGTGCAAACTTTTTTGCACAAATGTTATCTAAGTTGCATCAATTCTATCCTTCTTTTGTCCTGATCTTTTGACAAACACTTTCCCTTCATGCATAGACACGAAATTCTCATGGTAACCATCACACGTTTTTTAAAGTTCAAGAAAATCATAATAATATATTTATTTGCTCTTTATATTTTTCATTAATTGTTATACCAAAAAATTCATTTTCAGAGTGAATCTTCATTGAATAAAATCATAATGATTCTCATAGTCCTTTAATCAACATTGTTCACGGTATCAACAACAAAATCCTTCAATTATTTTATCTCTATTAGTTCAAAATTTTATTGAGAAGATTTGTTAAACAAAGTACGCTAATAATACCCATGAATATCTAAATATCAAAATGCATCTCATATGGAACCAAGAGTTATCTTTATGCACCTTCTTCCAAGTTAATTCCATTTATATATAAGTTCATTGCTCTCTTCATTATACTCTTCCAACAAGATCTCTCATTTCTTTACTTCTACTTTCTCGTTTTCCTTAATAACCTCACTTTTAACTAGATTTTACTAACATGATCAACATCATTAGTCATAACCCAACAATTTGGGGGTTAGTTCTATGAATCATCTATTTTCATTTATTCTAGTTAGTGTTGTCGAAGATGTGGAATCTATCATTCGCAAATCGATTCAGACAAACACTATATATTCTAACCAGATCTTATAATTGCTACTCCTATTCTAACTAACTTAATTGAAGTCTGGTTAGGCTCTACGTTGTATACTTCTAAGTACAAATTCAATAAGCTCTACGTTGTATGATTTATTAATTTTTTTTTTTACACTTTTCATTTAGTTTCTTGCAAACAAGTGATATTAATTATTCATCTAATCCATTAATTTTCATCTTCCTACAAAGTTTCCAAATTTCATATGTAAAATTTAATTTTAATTTTAGACCTTTTAAACTTCTGCTCACTTTTCACCCCAATTAGATTAAGTTGTAGACGATAGTTAAAGGATGACATTTTAGCCCTCTCATGCCTATTTTCATACATTGATCAGATTAAGTCATAATAAGTTGCTTATAGGTTGACCCAGGAGCTCAAATTATTATGTTTTTATTAGGTTCTCATACTTGTAATTAAGTCCTCTTTCTTAGTTTTATGTTTTAGTTGCGGGCTTGCCTATATAAGGTTGCCTTAAATGTTAGAAAGGGATAGAGTATTTTGATTGGTTGCAAAATCCTTTCTCGTATCCTTCCGAGTTAAGAAGTTATTTCAGTATCCTAGAGTGGCACCACATGGTCTTTAGCCGTCTTTCTTTCAGTGTATGTATTTTATTCCAGATTTCTTCTTTTCTGAATTTTTCGATTACATATTTTCTGTTTTACTTTGTTGATATCATCATTGTATCAAAGTACACTTCTTGCACATTTCTTCCTTCTTCCTTCCATTTAATTCAATTTCCCCGTAATTTGAAATTCTGTCCAGATTTCTTGTTTTCTTATTCCTCTGATTTCTCTTATCGATGGAAAAACTTTCTGCCAACGAAGAAATTTGGTTTGCTAGATTTTCCAGCATGTTCTAGCGGTATTGCGATTTTCCAGCAGGTCCTTGCGGTGTTGCAGTTTTCCAGCAAATTCTCGCCGTGTAGTCTCTGCTGTCCAACCGGTGGGTTTTCGCCCAGAATTTGCGGACAAGGGACTGATTTATGTCCAGACTTCCTATTTCTGGATTAAGGTGGCTGAAATATCTGTTGCAGTTTTACGATTCTGTGCAAAGGAATTCCAGATCAAAGGATTTTGGTTCCAGTTTTCTGTCTTCTTGACCTTTCCCACGGTGTTTCCTAATTTCTTCCTGCAAGCTGCCTTCAATCGCAGATCATCCAGAGTTCTCTGTAGCCTTCCATCGAGTCCGTAGACCAAAGAAAGTCAGGATGCTGCCAAGCAGAAACAAGTCCGTCCAGCCCGAGATTTGTTTGTGGAAGAATTACAACAAGAAATTCATCATCAACAAGCAAGATTGTCACTTCTTGAACAGCGAGAACCGAAAGAATGTCAGAATGAACCTTGAAATGAGATGACCGGCAAGGCAAGGAAGAAAATAACTTGTTCCATCACGAGACACCTAGTGACAATGAACAACCTCTACGTAAGTTAAGGCGTAAAAATCGACGAAAACCTCCAAATTTCAAAATCAAAATAGATCTTCCTAATTTTCATGGAAGATTGGATCATAACGAATTCGCCAATTGGCTACATATAGTTGAACAAATTCGGGAATTTAAGGAGATGTGGCAAAAACATATCGTCAAACTAATGGCGATCAAATTGAAGAATGCGTCACTTTGACGGGAAAATTTGAAAAGGATTCAACAATTAGAGAAAAGATCCAAGATCACTTCGTGGGCCAAAATGAAGAAAGAAATGCAACGGAAATTATTACCCGATCATTAGTGACAAGAAGTCTTTCATCCGGCTTCATAACCCTCATCAACAAGAGTTACTGTGAAAGAACTTATTGCTGAATTCGAACAGTTGGGGCTGAAATTCAATCTTTTCCAGCCCAAGGAGCATACTATAGCATGATTTTTGGGTGGTCTTCGACCATCTATCACTAATGTAGTTCAAGTTCATATGTTTCGGGCATTACAAGACATGATTAACACGGCGATGAAAGTTGAAAAACAGCAGAAATTGGGTATGAACACTCCAATAAGCATCCTTACCAATGATTTCGGTGGTTCCAGCAAATCAGCCCACTTCTGGCCACAGGTAGGTGGTTGAAAAGCTAAATAAAATGACAATTGTTTTCATGCACGAGGGACTACTACCACAAAGAGGAAAGTAAATACACAGTATACGATGCTTCAAATATCATGAGCTTGGTCACATAGCTTCGAGTTGTCTTAATCGGCACATTATTTCATTAGCGGAGGAGGTTGATCAAGAGGAAAATGGCGTGGTAGAAGAAGAAGATATTAATCCAACGATGGGCCAAATCCTACAGGCAGATGAAGGAGTATTGCCGGTGATAAGATGTCTCCTAAGTATCGAACAATCTTCCAATAAAGATTGGATATAACATAACATCTTTAGAACACGGTGCACAGTTCAAGACAAGGTTTGTAACCCTATAATCGAGTGGAAGTTGTGAGAACATGGTTACAACAACCATGGTGGAGAAATTTGGTCTAGCTACTCATCCTCACCCCCATCCCTACCAACTCACATGGCTCAAGAAGGGGACTAAAATTAAAGTCAATAGGAAATGCATGTTGTCGTTTTCTATTGGTCTAAAACTTTAGGAGCAGCCTTTATGTGATGTGATTCATATGGATGCTTGTTACATATTGCTTGGTTGACCTTGGCAATATGATCGTCATACAATTCATGATGAGTATGCTAAAACTTATTCCTTTATGAAAGAGAGAATTTAAATCACTTTGGTGCCTATGAAATAGGAGATCCAAGCAAGGACAAAAATCAACCCTTTTAACTCATTACTTTTAAAAGAACTCAAGGAGACAACTATAGGGTACTTTTTTATCATAACCGAGAGTTTCGGATAGCTACAGGCAACTCCTTCCGAAGTGCAAGGATTGATATAATAGTTCGAAGATATCTTTCTTGCAGATATTCCTATAAAATTGCCTCCTATGAGAGAGGTGCAACATGTTATTGGTTTTGTGCCCAGTTCGGTCATCCCTATTAAACCTTCATATAGAATGTCTCCAAGAAAGCACGAGGAACTTCAATGCCAAGTGGATAATCTGATCCACAAAAGCTTGGTGCGATGTAGTGCTAGCCCTTGCACGGTTCCAGCTCTCATGGTTCCAAAGAAGGATGAAAAATGGTGCATTGGCAGTTGGCTGTAAATAAATTCACTATTAAATATAAGTTTCTCATTCCTCAATTGGATGGTCTTTTTTATCAACCAAAAGGAGCAGTTATTTTCTCCAACATAGATCTTCGAAGTGTGTACCACCAAATATGTACGTGACATGGAGATGAGTGGAAAACAGAGTTCAAGAAAAGCTATGGGCTTTACGAGTGTACAGTGATGCCGTTCGGGCTTTCTAACGCTCCATGCACATTTATGCGCCTCATAAATCAAGTTTTTCAACTTCTTATGGGAAGGTTTTTTATGATAATTTGATTTATAGCTCTAACAAATCTAAACATTTCCAACATATATAAATTGGTTTTTAGAACCTACGATCACAACAGCTTTTTGCTAATGAGGAAAAGGGTAAAGTCCGAGTTGGTCACATCAGTTTCTTGGGATTTGTGATCTCGGCAGCGGGAATGGAGGTGGATTTCAACAAAGTTGCGGCTATGAGGGACTAGCCAACCCCTAGTTCCTTCACGGAAGTTCGACAGTTCCACGAGTTGGCCGCTTTCTATCGCCAATTCGTCGAGAACTTCAGTACCATCGCTGCCCCGGTAACTAGGCTGCTCAAATAGATCCATTTTTGTTGAACCGAGCAAGCACAAATAATTTTTTATTGCTTAAAACAGGCCCTATTAACTGCCCTAGTTTTAAAGCTTTCAAGTTTTGATCTTTTGTTCGAAGTGAATGAAATGCATCAGGCACCGGTGTTTGAGCCATTCTTAGTGAACAAAGACATCCAATAGCCTATTTTAGTGAGAGGCTCAACGAATCCAGAAGAAAATATTCCACAGATGAAAAGGAATTTTATTCAATCTAAAGGGCTTTCCAACATTGAAGTCATTATCTTTTAGATGACAAATATGTGCTCTTTACATACCACGAAGCCTTTAAGTATCTTCAAAACCAAAAAAAATTGAAAGGAAGATACGCCACATGGATTGAATATATTTCAACCTTTCAATTTACTCTCAAGCACAAATCGGGACTCTCCGATCAAGTAGTTGATGCTCTAAGCTGTCGACAAGCTATTCTATTTGTTCTGCAAGCTAGAGTTGTGGGTTTCGAACAAATACAGAGGAATGTATATCGAGGATCCTGATTTCCGGGTGGCATGACAACAATTTCTAGTTGGAAATTATAAAACCTTCCACATCAAAGATGATTTCCTCTTCAAAAGAAATTGTTTATGCATTCGTACGTGTTCCATTCGAAAAGCCATATTGATGGTAGGACATGACCTGGGTCTAGCTGGTCATTTTGGGAGAGATAAAACTTTAGTTCTTCTTTCAGCCAAATTTTATTGGACCTTTATGCATAGAGATGTGAACCGTCATGTAAAACTATGTTGAATTTGCCATTTAGCCAAAACAAGGAATCAAATTTCAGGTTTTTACCTTTCTTTACCCGTTCTTTTATTTCCTTGGACGAATATTAGCTTGAATTTTGGGGTACCACGCACTCAACGACACAAGGATTTTATCATGGTGGTGTTGGATCAATTCTCTAAGATGGCTCATTTTGTACAGTGCAAAACCTCTTTAGATGACTCACATTTCCAATTTGTACTTCAAAGAGATGTTTTGTTTACATGGCATTCCACGTACTATTACATCGGATCGAGATATTAAGTTTTTAAGCCACTTTTGGAAGACATTATGGGGTAAAATTGGGAGCCAAATTTAAATATAGTTCCGCTTCCCACCGACAAACCAATGGGCAAACAAAAGCTGTTAGTAGAAGTCTTGGAAGTCTTGGGCACGCAGTCAAACTTCCAAATACAGTCCTTTTGAGATGGTTTATGGGAGAAATCATATATCTCCGCTAAATCTTACTGGATTTTCCCATCCAGGCGGTGACACCAGACATTGAGATTCAATTACAAGAAATAAAAAAGCTACATAAATTGGTTCGTGAGAATATCATTATACAGAAAAATATCGACGACAAGCAAACAAGAGTAGAAGGGTGGTTGCCTTCAAATAGGGAGACAAACTGTGGATTCGACTAAGGAAAGAGCGTTTTCGTCCGGAAAGACTGGGAAGCTCAAGGACATAGCCGATGGGCCTTTCCAAATTGTGAAAAGTATTAATGACAATGCTTATTAAATTGATCTCCCCGAATACTACAATATTACTACTACATTGAACATTGTCGACTTGACCTCACATTATGAAATCAATTCTGAAATTGCTTCTCTTGAAGAATCCCCGCCAACTCTGAGAGAATGACGCAGAGGCTGAAATTATTATATATTTTAAAAGAGTGTCATACTTGTAATTAAGTACTATTTCTTAGTTTTTTGTTTTTACTGTGGGCTTGCCTATACAAGATTGTCATATATTTTACAAAGGTATAGAGAGTATTTTGATTGGTTGCAAGAATCTTTCTCATATCTTTTCAGGTTAAGAAGTGATTTCAGTATCCTGGAGTGATGCCGTGGTGGTGATTAGTTGTCTTTCTTTCAATTTATGCATTTTATTTTCCCTCTTTGGGATTGCGGGCCACGTTTCTTCTTTTCTAGATTTTTCGATTGCAGATTTTTTGTTTTACCTTGTTTCTGATATCAGAAGTGATGTCAAAAGAAAACCCTATTCTATCCTACACTACAATCCAGTTAGATAAGGAGACAGCTTCTAGGAAACACCATAGCATAACCGAAACTAAAAAAAATTGAATTTATTTCAGGAGTTTTGATTTATGTTTAATGACGTTTTGTTGTCCTAACATCAATCATCAACTTTTCTAATTCAGACTCAACCAACAATGAAGGTTTCATCTTCTATCATGTCTATGGAATAAAAAAAAATGCAAAGATTAGGGAATATGCCAAGAGTTTTCGCGCTATAAAATTGGCAAAGTTACTAGGAATCGAAAAAATAAATAAATCTCAACAAGGAACCCTTTCACTTTCAAGATATAAAAGCATTCAACAGTTCAAGTTACCCAAAAGCATTCCCTATTTAAATGGTTTGTATATTTTTACCACCAGTTATTTTCAACAAGCTCCTTATAAAATAATGTAATTCTTCTGGATAAAATATAACAGAAGTATTTTCTGTTACCTATTGATATAAATAAATCCAAAAATCAAACAACTGCACAAGAATCCTATAATAAGCACAGAATTCGGGTTTATGGGGGCTCGGCCTTCCCACCATCCTGTACTCAATATCCATGTATACATTGAGGAATGACCATTTTCCTGCAAAGGGAGATAAATCATCAGACAGAAAAAAAGCAAAAAAAAAAAAGCAAAAAACAAAAAAAGAAGAAGAAATAGAAGCTCAACTAAGCATAATAACAATATGATGATGCTGATGATGAGTATAAACTGCTAAAAATTTTTGACATACTTCTTTTGTACCTTTTAAAAGCATAACACTTCTAAGATGTAGTAATTTTGTGTTATACAAACCAGAACAATATAGTCATTCCCTATACCAGACATATCTAGTCCAGAAAATAGAAAAGCATCGTGACCAGAAAGTGAAACAAATCGTTTATTCCATCCATGCAACAATAAGATGCTTTGTCGTGACCAAACATTGATCCAATTACCATGATTCCAAGGAGCAAAAAAACGGAGAAAAAACAAAAAAAACAAACAAACATGTTCAATTTCGACACATTGGAACTAATAACATTCAAAATAGATAATTTGACCAAAATATGTTCAATAAAGGAAAGTCTAGCCATGCTAATCCACAGATGAATGGGGAACTATCATTAGGTCAGCCTAAAAGGGGGAAAATCAGCTTGGAACTGATAAAATGTAAATAAAAAAAGGCCTAAATGCATAGCATGCCTACATAAGTTCTAAAGCAAGGTTATTAGCAAAATATTATTTTTAATCTAATGAAATAGACTACTAAAACGTTTTTGGTTATGTTGCTACAATGAATGCAATTTTACATAGTAATTTATCCAATTACTAAGCTTAGATGTTTAATATAATGATATGTGAAAAATGTTTTTTTTTTTACTTGAAGAAAAAGTTTATATGGGTTCTCAATTAGGATTTAACCGTTTTTTCAAAGAAAATCTTAAATATACCCAAAGGCTAATATATTAAAAGGAAAAGATACAACAAGTTGTATGAGTGGGCCCAAAAGAAGGCACCCAACTCATAGGGTACAACGCACCCAAAGGTCCAAAAATAGAAAATATACATATAATTAGGGATGCCCTAGTTTAGACTTGTCTCTGCCTCTGGTTCTTGGAAGGGAGTCGGCTAACAAATTGGTGAGGTGTGTACGTACCATTACCCGAGAAGTAACAAAAGTATCATCCATTAGATTCCTGAGCTCAAGTAGGTCTCCATTCTTCTTCTTCCTCCTAAATGTGTAAATCTGTCATTCCTCATCCGAAGATTGATTGCTGGATGAGGTGGTAGAACCGTAGTAGAGAGATTACCAACCGTTGTAAGTACAATAAGTTCCAGCGTATGTGAAGAATGAGTTATCGCCTCTGCACCAGATGTTTTCTGAAGATGAGGAGCTGCAAGGCTCTCCTGATTACCAGTCTGAACACTATCCTTTTTAGGTAAGGATCCTTCAATAATGTTATCAATAAGGTTTGAAAGTGTAGGTTGCCCAGCAGAGCCATCCAACATCACATCAGTCTCAGAAACAGAAGTAGTATTGGCAAGGGGGGATCCATAGGTTGAGCAGATGTGTCCATAGCAATGAGGTTAGACCTCTCCTTGTTTACTTGAGCTTTAACTTTCAAATTTGGATGGAGTCTGTGACATTTATCAAGGGTAGGCTCAAACATCTTACAGTGGATACAATAAAAAGATCTATGTTCCAGAACAATTTGTTGTCAATATCTATTGTGAGTTGTGCCCAGCCAGACTTCAGTAATATCAGGTAAGGTAATATCATTTTCCACAAGTATTTTGGTCACAAAAGGTCTGGTTAAGTTTAGGGTGGGCAGATTTAGCTTCATAAATTCCTCAAGTATGACCTCAATAGAGTAGAGAACCTGATGATTAAAGAAATAAAACTTGAGACCAAGTAAACTAATTTATACCGTAAGTAGGAGACTCATGATTTGGGTGAAAATCAGGGGACCACTTGAGTAACTACATTGATTTATTTTCAATGTTAAGATATTTTTTAGATAAAATTCGAGCGTAGTCTTCAGTCAATGTTAACTGAATCAACACATATCTTTTATCAAATAGTCTCACTTTCCACTTGCCTACAAGTTTAAGATCATCAAAACTTTTTCTGATAACTTCCATAGGTGGGTGCCCCCACTGAAATTTCTCAATAAGACCAAACTTGAATTTCTTAGTTAGGGTTGAAATTTGTAAATAAAAAAAGAGTGTTGTTTTACCACTCTTCCTTCTTATCTTCTTAAGAAAATGACAGTCATCCATACCATCACTACATTCCTTATAACTTAAGGGGAAGACAGCAATAGACTCCACAAGATGATTACCTACCACGTGGGCGAAGGAGGCTTTGTCAGAATCAACCGAAGAAAAAGGAAGCGCCATCAATATAAGCGTCGATCCTTCAGCTCGCAAACGCGGAAGAATTTGCACAGAGGATGTCGAGGAACAGAGGACGTCGCGGAAACAGAGGACGCCACGGGAGACTCGCGGACACTTTAGCTAACAGGCGATCCCACAAAGACGCGACGCGCACGACGCCGCCGAAGACGAGCCTCTATCGCAAGTCATTCAGCCTGCCACACGGACACACTCCCGCAGAAGACGAGCCACGAGGATGATGACGCGCGAAACAGACGAAAACAAAAGGAGATCGAGCACGAGCAGTGGAGCAGAAACCAGAGTTCGCCATAATGGTGAAACCCTAGCAGAGCAATATCAAGGAAGACGCCATCGGTGCTGCTTCTAATTAATATATATAAGTGAAGAATTACATTATTTTACCCTTCCAGGTTTCACTAAATTTGGATTTACAAAAATAATAAGTCCTACCAAAATCTAATTCATTGTCATATAGGCCGTATGAGTTTAAGGATATACTAATACTATTTATACATGATATTTAATAAATAAAGTTTCATTTAGGATAGTGTACATTATTAAAAGAAATTTTGATATGATGGAGAACAAAAATTTGTATTAAGATTAATCACACAATATTTGTGAACTTATATAATTAAAATTATATTAGAAGATTAAAAATTAAATAAAAATGACCTATGAGGATATATTGCAACCATAAATCTTCCATCAGCTTTGCCCACAATTCAATACAACATGATCGAATCAAACATGTGGAGATGGATATGCATTCCATAAAAGAGAATCTTGAAAGTGAGTTAATTTGCACTCTGCATTTTCCAAAGAGAACGCCTATATATTTACCAAAGTACTTGACAGTCTTGCTTTCGAAATATCTTATGTAAACTTTCAATTGCAGGTGCATGCCGCCTAGTTTAAGGAGTGCTGAAAATATTATGATTGCTGAAAGAAAGCAGCTGTGAATTTATGTTCTAAATAAGGGAAAATATGCAACAAACTTATGTGATTTAACATGAAAAAAGGGGTGCCAAAGATTTATTTGCTTAACATGAAAATAGGAGATGTCATGGATTGCACTCTTTCACTGGCTTAAGATAGGATGTTTTTTATAACGATTTAATTTTTATATTCTTTGTAAGTAATAGTTTCCAATGGGGTGCCAAAGATTTATTTGCATAACATGAAAATAGGAGATTTCATGGATTGCTCTCTTTCACTGGCTTAAGATAGGATGTTTTTTATAACGATTTTAATTTTTATATTCTTTGTAAGTAATAGTTTCCAATGGCTCTTTAATTAGTTTGTATATAAATACTCATTGGGAGAACGAATAAAATAAGCTTCCTAGCCACTTCTTTTATACATTATGAACTCTTCAGTGTTCATAAGCTTGGTCTTCATCTACTTTATATTTTAATGCAAAAAAATAATTACATCCTAAAAATTTTCTCTTTTAACATAACAGCTCAACGATCTCAAAAGTTATTTTTTTCCAGTGTATTCATCTCTTCTCTCATTGTATCTTTCAAATTCTTAATTTTTTAATATCTTAAACAATGTTTATGGTATTTTAATAACGTTTGAGATAATATTTGTAAGAAAGGATTTATTTGTAGGAGAAATTTTTAAAAGAACATGTACTAGTTTAAGAGGTACAAAGGAAAATGTGTAGTAATGGGTTGATCATTATTTTATGCTTTATTTTTCAAAGCATTCATCTCTTCTCTCATGGATCTATTCAATCATTATTTTTAAATGTCTCAAATAATATTTATGGAATTTTAATAGAGTATATATATCTATACGAAATGATTAATGTGAAAGAGATATTTTTGAAAGGATGTGCACTACGTTATAAAACATAACTGAGAATGTGTGATAATAAGCTGATCGTTACTATGGGAGTTATATAATGACAATTCCAAATCTTGAGCTTGCTTAAACCTTTGAATGGATTCTATAGACCTGAAGATACTTAGGCAAAGGAGTAATGTGTTATTTTTTCATTTATGTACCTGGAATGTCAAGAGAGAATATGTAAAGTTCAAAAAAAAAAAATAACATTTGGTTGTACTATCCTTGAAAACAAATTTGAGTGAAGAAACTTTATTTTTATAAAAAGCGGCACTAGTTTTTTTGTTTTTTTTTTGGCAACCGGTATCCCAGTGTTCTTATAAATGTAAACATAAGGTAAAACTAAAAATGTTTTTGAGAAAGTTTTGCAAAAAAAAAAAAAAAGAAAAAATTCAGCAAGGTAATTCAAGGGACTTTTGATATCAATAACTCGCGAGGGTTTTAGTAAGATATGTAGAGGTTAAGCTAGCTTTTCCCAAATATCTTTTAAAAACTTTATTTAGGAAGCAAAAAATAAGATAACTTTTAGAAGTTGTTTTTTTTTTCTAATCTTATTTTGTTGTGGGGCGATAGGGCACGAGGATTAATAAATATATCAAGATAAAGATTGAAATAATTTGATTAAAATAATGTCAAGCATTATAAATCCTAAATTTTAACATCCATCCAAAATTAATTTTTTATCATAGAGAAAAACATTAAAAGAATAGGACTTCAATTAAAATTTTATTTAATAAAATAAACTCTAAGTAATCATAATGCAATCATCAATAAATATAACAAATTTTAGCTTTAACAATAGTATTGGTTTTTAAAGATCCCCATATAATATGGGGTAACTTACTATGAAAAGAGTAGAGCATTAGAATTCACTATCGAGAAAGAAAACTCTATGATGCTTAACAATTTCAATTCTCACAACTAAAATTTTCAATGCCAACATTTATAAAAAAAGAAGGAAACATAAATGCCTTAGTCTATAATGATGATCCCAAATAGTAATTATATTTAGAATAGGTATGAAGAAACAAGATAAGTGCTGATTTGTCTTAATAAATAGATGTCGTCATTTTTTATAGTTTACCAATAATAATAACAGGTAAAAAATAACATATTGCAGTTATGGTCATTGGTGAGCTTATAATTCAGACAAAAGATTTAATGTTAAGAACATGTAGCACATCATTGAGAGTAAATTTAGAACAAAATAGTTGACCTGCAACAATAGTTAGGGAAATGACTTCTATTTTTCTTTTGTTGAGAAAAAAAATTAAACATTTCAAAAGTGTTGATAAAATTTATCATGCGATTAGTGACTCATGAATATAATATCCAAATTTTTTAGGAATGACTTGAGATTTTAAAAGTAGAAAGAATGAATACCATTTTGAAGTAAAGATTATGACCAAAAAATTATTTTAGACAAAAACTGAAGAAGTTTGTCAACTATTTGATTTCTTTCGAGTCGATCCATTTTAGTTTAACATGATAAGCCTAGCCTTTTGACCTAGATTATTTCCAACATAGCCTCGGACTTTCTATGGTGTTTCTAATATGTCTCTTTAATATGCCCTTTTTCTTGCAGAAAATGCATCATAAGTTATTTTGGAGGAAAAGCATTTATCCTTCTTGAGGGGATTCAGTGGCAAGAAGTTCTTTATATTTTGGTTCTATTGTTGCCATGATCGATATTTCATAATTGGTATTGTCAATTATTATCATTCTTGGTTGACTCGTATGAGTTAAAAAATCTCATTTATGGATGTTATGTCATCTTTGCTCACGATGTGAGCACCAACTTAATCGAATTCATTATTGAGTCCTATAAGAAAATAAAATTTCATAACTACAATTTTGGATAGGTAATGAAGGCGGGGGGACGGATGTCTGTTAAAATATGGCGTGAACGTTGGGATAACAGTGAATCGGAAGACTAAAAGTGTTATTTTTTGCAGTCAAACAGGCAACCAGCAAATTGGATGACAAAGGAGGCCTCCAAACATCCTCAATAGATCACCATTTTGATCCTAGTAGGCTAGAGAGACACCGCTGGAAAGAAATCTAAGGATAAAGCAATCTGATAGAGAAAAAATTGGACAAAATATCCTGAAATGATATAAAAATAGTCAAAAGCCCTCAAAACAATCAAAACTCAAATAATTAGATCCCCAAAAGAAAGTGACCTGATTAGAAAAAAATAAAAAGAAATAAATCAAAAAGGAAATGAATATGCATGAAACAAAAGAAAATTGACACCTCTGTTGTCTTTACGTGCAATCTGCAATTGCAGGACGGTCAATTCCGCAATGTGCAGAATCCAATATTGTTGGAAATTCGTTCTGCAGCCTTGCGGGCACGAACAACTCTCGTGTCATTCTCCCCGACTAGGAGAAACCTCTTATTCTTTGAAAAAGTCTGGATCCCACTATCAAATGTTATTTCCCACAAAAAACTTACAAAGATTGGCGAAGCTATGATTCACCACTCTTGTTTGGCCATCTGTCAATGGGTGTTACTGTCACCACCCGGCCCTATGCTTGGAATAAATAAACAAATACAAGTACAGACGGTCAAATGATGTGAATTAAAATTTATATATTAATCTAAAATTTAAAAAATGGAAAAGCTATTAATTAAATTAAATAAAAAAAGTACAATTAAAATTACATTATTACTGATTGTCTGCATCTTCTATGAACATTTTTCTTTCTATAGTTCATCTTTAATCACTTCATTAACTTGAAAAAGTTAATTTAAAATAGTAACGAGTCAAACAAGCCAGTGAATACTCATACTCCTAAACTACAGCAATACAAGGAAAAGAACAACATGAATGATGTTTAAGCTTAATTATAAATCAATATAAATATTTAACATGTTATTCACAGAGTTTATATCAATATCTTTTCATATTTATACAACCTTTTCGGGAGTACCGTCTAAAAACTGTACCACTTAAAATACTTCAATATCAATATTCATTTTCATTTACGTGCACAGGTACATTAGTGTTCCCCGACTAATATCATCAAGGGTGAATCAATCAATGTCATTCATACTCATACAAGCAATCTATGCAAATTATATCATTCATAATTCTATATCACTCACTTATAATGCATTGATTATTTCATATTATGAGATTATAGACATTCGCTGATTGCATTAATCAAGCATAGTTAACGACCCATAAAATTGGTTTAGAAGAGGTATCAAAATAATGTTATAATTTAAGAATACGAGTACTCACCTTGATGCCGACTAATTTGTTATTTGCCTTGAGGTCAATTATTCTAAAATCAAAAAACTAAAACATGATATAAAATTTAATTAACTAATTATTTTTAAATAATCTATTAACTTTTCATTATTTAAATGCTAATTTTTTCTTTATATAATCACACTTAATTTCTATTCAATAAATATATATTTTTGTATATAAATATTTTATTATTATTATTATTATAATTAATATATTGATTTAACAAAACCTTACCTTGGTCGAGCCTTCCTCCCCCTCGCACGTCGCACGCAGAAGGATCCTGCGACGACACTCTTCCTCTCCAAGCTTTCGGTCGAATGACGAAGGCTTTGCACTTCTCCTCCTTCCTCTCTACGAGCCGCACGTCAGAGCCTCCTTCCTCTACGAGCCGCAGAGATACAACTTCTTCTTCCTCTGCAGCTTGCACTCGCACCCTAACCGCTCGAAGCTGACAAACATACCAACTAAAATAAATCCAAAGATAAAACACTCCAATAGAGAAAATCATGTAAAAACATCTCAAAATAACAGAACAATAGTTATAAGTCACTCAAAACAACAAAAACTCATACATAATAGATCCTCAATAGAAATTATCGTGATTAAAAAGAAAGAAATATGAAATAAATATGCTTGAAATAAAAGAAATTGGTGTCTTTGTTGTCCCTCCGTGGAGTCCACAATCGTGGTTAGCCAATTTCGTGATACACAGAATCCCGCATCGCTGGAATTTCATTCCGCAGTCTTGCGAGCATGAAGAGATCCCGTGTCAATAAGTCTATATGATAGCTTCCCAACAAACTTTTGAGGAGTTAATAACATTTATGATTTATTGATTTTAAGCATCACGTTGTCCAATAATCATAACAAGATCATGAATGGTTGTTTCATCCCAAAATAAAAATTTTAACTCTTTTAAATTTGGAGGAGAATCAACAAAATGGATTTTTTTTCATTTTCTTTCACAATCTGAGACCACTTTCGGTAATTTTCTTCCATTCAAACAATATGATGTTTGTAGCCCGTGGGATTCTCCTTTAGCCTAGTTTTCACCATTCATAATAATCGACCCTTTGAAAAATAAATCAAAAAAATCAAACATATGCAAAAAGAAGAATAAATAAAGCACCCGGCTGCATTTTACTAAAGCGGTCGTGCATCAAGCACACCAGTGATTCAAAGGCAATTGTCTGCTTAGGGCGCCAAACCACAAACACGGTATACAAGAGAATACTTAAGACACTTGAAATGAAATGGAAAGAAAAGTCATTTCTAATTTTAAACCAAGTTTATAAGAAGAAGCGGCATCTTGAAAAAACAACTGAAAGTAGGAAGAAGAATATTTTGCTAACAAAAAGGGATTGCATTACCGACATAGAACCCTAGATTACCAAATATCATATGTTCAATGACCTAAACATAAACAACTACTCTGCCACAGTTTATACCTGTATATGGGTTGTCATCAAACAATACTATTGGTAATATAAGAACTTGTGCTTAGTAAACAGCAAAACCAAAATGTTTTGGTGGTGGTGGAAAATGTAGCATTATTTTATCTTGAAAATGATTTCTATATATATATATATATATTTATATTTATATTTTCAAGCAACTTCATCACAGCAAAAAATGATTTCTATATAAATACGCACATGCATACACATATTCTATTTTATTTTATCAATTTCATTAAAATGAATCCAATAAAATGCTGTAAATTGCTTCTAAGGCATAAATAGCCTATATTATGACTAAAGTCGCAGTCCTAACAACTGGGTCGTAACAAGCATACAAGCACATAAAAGCTATGTCTATACTCATGGGTAATTAAAGTTAATACATCAATATTTAGTTATGCATTAGTAACAATCTTCATGATCACTGAGAATAAATTATGGTATTTTTTACAATGTACCAGCAACAATTTGAAAAATAGGACCATTCTCATCAATTTTCACAAAAAAGGAAAACTGAAAAGAAAATGCCTATTTATGTAATTTTACTTTCTAAAGTCAAATAAGCACAAGCAAAATATCTAACGGTCACACAAAATTACCGAAAAAAATATAATGAGGCAGACCTCACAAGAAACTTCTTATCCCTCCGGAATGCTCATGGGTAGAGTAATGACCTAAGACAAATAACGAGAAGTTCCCGGGATGATAATGCCTTGTAAAAGAGCATAATAGGAAAAAATTTAAAGCGCCGAAAGAGAGACAAAAAGTAGAATAAGTAGAATAGAGAATGATAGCTATTGAGTAAACCCAAAAAGATGGGAAACATGCTAGTAATTCTTAAAAACAACTCTTTAACCATGTTACTTAAAAAACTCTTCCAAGCTCTTTGTTCTGCACTACAATATTCCACAAGCTTTAACTTGTGAGTCATACATTGCCAAAGGTGAAAGAGTGCCCCTCTTGTGGCAAGCTGGTAGCTCATACTCCATGGTTTTATTGTTAGTAAAGATTGCTTTGTTCTTGAGAGTTTTCCAGTCAGCTCACTCTCTAGGATAATCATAGTTGTCAACCAGTTGATTTTAACGTGTCATCATCTAGTTAAGTAAGATTCCTATTTTACATTCTTTGGTGGGCCACCTCCAGTATATGCAGTTGTCATTAGGATGTAGATGATAATGATGAAAAAGATGAAGATTAACTTCTAAAACTTTCCCTTTCCCCTATTTTCTATTGTTTGTCCAAAAAGTCTAAAACTCGTCGTTCACAAAAAGCTCATGTTTGGCTCGTTAAGTAGTTTATGTTTGATTCATTCATTAAGCAAACGAGTGGAACACGAACACTTTTTTAGCTCGGTTTATAAGCAAGTCGCACATGAACAAATGTTTATTCGTACGTGTTCAGCTCATTTTGGCTCGAAATAATTAATATATTAAATAATAATATCTATTTATATTTTTTTATATTAATTTTTATGTTGAATTTAAAAAATACTAAATTTATTCTTTTTAAAGAACTATTTGGGTGATATAATATAAAAACCTATGTGTTTAGATGTTAGTATGTAAATAGTAAGATTTGGTTGGTATGTGTATAAATGCTCTAAGAAAAAAAGGCTAAAATTTTGCCCACCAACGGCCCCACATATCAATATTTGTCGGTGTTAGATATGTAAATGCAAGGATTTGGATGGTTTGCATACTAATCCTGCCAAAATTTAGCACCTGTTGTCCCGCCTAGGGCTATAAAAAACACTCGTTGTTCAAGAATATCTCATGCTTGGCTACTCAAGCAGCTCATGTTCAAATCGTTTATTAAGTAAGCGGTCGAACACAAACAAATTTTATAAGCTCAAATTATAAACGATTCGAACGTGAATAACCTTTTGTTTGACATGTTCAGCTCATTTTTGCTTGAAAAAAGATAAATTATATTTATTATTTTTTAATAAAATATAATATATATTTAAATCTAAATTTAAATCACTGCGCCTCGCGTGGTCATGTATTCTTCACTTCTTATTGCATAAGAATGTTGCAAGTTGGAGTCTAACACCCTACATTTATTTTTCTAGGTAATTTAATCGAGCCAATTTCAGCCCAAACGCAAACAAGAATATGTAAATCGGGTCGAACACGAACACATTCTGTATGAGCAATTTTGAACATGAGCCAATTTCAAATAAAATTAATTTTGAATGAGCCAAGCATGAGCTCGCTCAAGCTCGGCTCGTTGCCTTACCCAAGATATATAAAACATCCACTCATTTTAATGAATTGATCAAGTATTGTTACAACCCCGCCCCTATATATACTACAACTAAAATTGCATTCCCCTTCAAAAAACAAAAAAAACTTTAAAAATAAATAAATAAATAAATAAACCAAAATTACATTCCGCGTATTCAGTTTTAGATATAATCAAACAAAAACATTTGACTCCAAAGGCCTCCATTATGGTATATTTCCATAACATTAAAAATGTCTCTAAGAAATATATTAAGTGACCTGATAGATGCTTGGTTTAATCAATACCTCATCAAAGTAAACATCAAGGTTGCAACCTTTTGTTGTTACGAACGCATTATTCATCAACCTTAGATGATTCACTCAAATATTCTTTAAACCAAAAGGCATAATTTTGTAGCAAAAGCTATCTCCATCAATGATAAAACTTCTCATTTTCAGAATTCATCCTGTTCAAATAGTAACCAGAGATTACATTGATGAAAGGTTAGGAATCAATACTATATATAATATAAGAATCCTTTGGGCCGGTGTCATTCATTCATTTAAAATCGAGCCACAATTTGGATTTGTCGTTAGTTTTCTTCGGTGTAAAAATATTGAAAATCCAATTGAGATATTTGGACTTTCCAAATGAATCCATCATCTAAAAGTCTGTTTACCTCTTGCTAGATGGTGTGTTAGATTTATGTGGGGAACTTTCTCCTTTTGCTTGATGGCTTTGTTACCAAAACTGATATAGGCAATAACAAGCAATGCATAAATCAATTAAAGCCATCTCAAAGGACACCAAAGCAAATACATCTAAGTTAATACAAAGGAGATTAATAAGTCTTATTGGGAACTTATCATCAGAGAAAAAAGTAATCCAAAAATTTCTCCTAATAGTATCACTTCCTTGATCAACACTCAACAAACTCCTTGACTAAGTTCAAAAGTAATAAATTCTTCATGAATAAACTTTTCCTTAAAAAATCTAACAAGAGAAGCAGAGATTTGTCAAAGCCCGTCCTATTGGAGGAAGGCAAAATAGAATGCAGGCTAGACTTCCATTGTCAAAGTCGATTCTGAATGAATGTTGAGTTCTGCCACTATCAAATTGTCATAAATGCTTTGATATAATGACAAATTTTCACCATAAGAGGTGTGAAGACTATCTAATGAGACTTCAACACTAGCTTCTCCAGTGAATGGCATGTAAGCATATAATCATTTTGATACAACTATACCTGATTTGCTCACCAATCTGCTGATTATTGTTACAAAATTTAGCCTGAAACTCCTTCAAATGAACCTTCTCGAGCAACTTCTTAAGAAGGTACTTTAAGCACTCAGCAATCATCCGTTTCATAACTATGATCACATGGTGGAGACAATAATTGTTCATGTATCTCTTATTTGTTGTCTTCCTAATAGATTTTAACTGCTTCAAATATTTTTTGTTTTGAATCTCCTCCATGATTGCAAAGACTAGATAGGCCAAAGGAGGCCTGTTGATATTTTGTTGTATATGCTGAGGCTGAGCAGGTAAAATGATATAATTTATATGGCCTTGATGACAATTTCTCATGAACAAGCCTTCTTAAGTGGATACATCCCTTCAATCCTGGTTTTTATAGTGTTGTTTCTGATGACAAGTCGAACTCGCTTTACTATTGCTCATTTAATGAAGTAGCATAGCCTTCAATCAAGTAGTAAAATGTAGAGAGGCTGTGCTCATGAGTTAACATATTTGGTTGCCTTTGCAGCATATCAATTTTCTATTGTTTATTCTTAGCAATGATGAATTTGTATCACCCACAACCTCATGTACGTGATTATTTAACTTGTCAAAGGTTAAAGTTTCATAATGAAAGTTGATCGAGTTGCACATTAGTAAGAATTAACATAGCTGATAGGCATAGTGGTAATTTTAAAGATTATTATTTTATACCAATAAATTATATTTTTATAGTATTAAAGTAGAAAAAAAAAACTTGATTTAATGGTTGATGATGGAGATCAAAAAACACCTACCTTTGAAACAGAGGATCTATGTATTGCCCACTACTTCTGCAACAAAGATACTAGAAATGCGGAGCAACAAAAAACTGATAAAGGAGACTCGGAAAAGGAGACGGTATAGAATATGGAGAAATTTACAAATATAATTGAAATAATTTTTGGCTATTGCAAGTGGCTGGAAAAGCTTCCTCATACTTCTAAGAAGATGGCGTCAAGTTAGGTAATAGAAGTTACGATGAAGAAACAAAGAAAAGAACACAGAAGGTAAGTAAAGACGACGACCAGCTTCAAACTGGAGGGTGGAAAAGCTCCAACAATAGGCCCGGTCTCCACCTTGTCCAACGGTAAAAACATTAAGTCTCCACTCCATTAGAAGGGTGAGACCGTCACCTTACAAAACTCTCACCTGCTTAGCATATCTTAGGGTTGGAAATGAAAGCACAAAATACCAAAATCATCAAACAAAACTATCCGCTAATCCATGTTACTCACCTCAAATAGATGATCAAGGAAAAAATGCGACAAAGAACCCGCAGCCACGAGACAGAAGCACTGTTTCCTACTCAAAGCAACCTAAGCACGCCAGTAAACTGTCGCCGTTTTAGAAAACTGAACAACCCAAATCCAAGAAATTAGAAATAAGTACTAAACTTACCCCTGAAATAGTATCGATCAGGCCCTTCTGGAGGAGGACACGAGAGAGCCAAGCATAGAAAAAAGAAAGTGGAAATCCAAGGAGCAGGATGTAATAGAAAGGGTGATGGATGAGCTCCATGGCTAAGTCCCCGAGACGGCGGCCGCCAGATCCATCGGGGAAAAAGGAGGCGAGCCATTCGGCAAAGGAACCCAGATCGGGGCCGAGGAAAGCGTTGGCGGCGTAGAAGAGGCAGTGCTGAGGAGTGAAGCGGCCATTGCTCAAGCGCATGAGGCCAGTTCCGGCGCCGAGAGCGTACATGATGTGCGGCCCCGGACCCGGCATCGTCGCCGGCGATATGGTGGAATCGAGTGGAAGGATACAGAGAACTGGGAAGTCAAAAGTGAAGGGGAGTTGGACGAGAAATATTTGCGTACGTAAGGTACGCAGAGCTATATGGGAGGGTATTCGAGTATTTTATTCTATAACCTTCACACAGTAACTTATAAATGAATGACCGCAGAAACTAAGATCACATGTAAATTATGCAAATTATGGGGAGGTTACAGGGGTATAATGCAGATAATTTCTCAATATTCTGCGTGTGTTAGACGTACGTAAATATTTCTTGAGTTAGGCTGATATATATATTTTTAGAGAAAACAGGAACACCCACCAAATAATTTTTTCATTTTTACTGATTAATTTATAAATATTAGTATTTCAGGTGATATGTATGTCATTATTCTGAGATTTGATATTTTGTAAGCAAGTTGATAAAATGTATAATAATTTACATTTAAATGCTAATAGCAAAATTTTAAAATATAAATTTTAGAAGTTTTAATATTTAAAATAATAAAAAAATTTCAATAAATATAAATAATCTTGCAAAGTTGGATTAGGATTAAACATTATCAAATGAAATCTACGAGGTCTTTTTTTACTGGTGGTTTGACAACGAGCAACAGCTTTAATGTAGTTGTTGGAGTTGAATGGAAAATATTTGTGTACATAAGACGTGCGTAAGACGTACGCAACATTCGTACGTCAGGGGTTATTCAGAGGGTACAGGAGGGTTATATCAAATTATACCCCCATGTAACCTCCGTGTAGCAGCGCTGCGTACGTCTTATGTACACAAATATTTCCCGGGTTGAATGGCTATTTCTCCACTTCTTAAAAATGTGTACAGATAGTTTACAAAGAGGTTACAGGGGGGTTACATGGGGTATAACCCCGATATAACTCTCATGTACCCCTTGAATAACCTCTGGACGTACGCAGCGCCGCGTACGTCTTATGTACACAAATATTTTCTGGGTTGAATGGCTATTTCTTCACTTCTTAAAAATGTTTTGTTTATGAGCCCTTCCATTTTTCAATTTAGATCATCTTTGTTATTCTATCTCTAATTCTTATAAAATTCTTAGGTTAGTTTCCTGAAAATTTTAAGTTCAACTCCTGTCACTTTTTTAATTTAGAAGGCGGTGCATCTCGACAATGCAAGACAAGATGAAATAAATAAAATATGTTTTTCATTATTAAAAGGAATAATGTATACAAATAATCATAAAAAATAAATAAGAAAATATAAATTTTATTCATAATTAATAATCCACTGATATAATTGAAGAAAAAACATAAAACTTATTGAAACAAAAAATGAAATGACGACATGAATAACTGACTATCTAAACAAAAACAGAAAAAATAATAACTAAAGCAAATACTAAAAAAATCTAAATAGCAAGAAATCTAAAGCTGTCAAAAATGCTCTGGTGGATATGATTCTATTAATGATTGATTAGAACATGTTATACAAAATGTCATAGAATGAGTCTTACAAGAAAATTTATTAAATAACAACTATTTATTAAAGCGTAAATGACAAGAAAAATGTGGTACGCAGTATGAATATGAAATATGGACAACCACTATGTGCATATATAACTTCTTAAGTAACATGAGTGTTATAAACATTAATTATATTTACTTATCATAAGACAACACGCTCTAATTTTGAATAAAGTTTCTTATTATTCGGTTTTTTTTTATATAGTCTTAACATATATCATGAAATCAAGAAGGTCAATGCTCGCCAAGGAAACCCAACAATTTTATGTATAGTTGTCACTCCATTGACCCGTCGGCCCAATTGGCTAATATCCAAAAGGATTCTACCGACATCTACTTTATCACACACAAACAAACAAATTTTTCACATGAATAATATGTAAGATATATGTTATTCAATGCAATTTTGTGAAATGAAATATGTAAATTCTTACAAGTAAAGCGTAGGAAAAGAAAATATCATAATTGCAAGATCAACTCAAACACGCAGGAAAATTTACACTACGAAACTAAGACAGTTTGTTACTTCATTATGGGAAATAAATGAAACCTATAAAGGCATGATTGATAATTACATAAAATAGTTATGAATCTATTACAAATAACAATGATTAATACATCTAACTAGGATAAACATGTTCATCCTCTAATAAAAGTTCTTAATTCGATGAGGCAAAAAAACTCCAAATATGTTAGTGGTTCAATTAATATTGTCAATCAATTTCTATAAAAGTCAAATTTCAAAATTACTAGCAATAACACAATTATTAAAACTAATTATTACTAAGTTAGGTGTAAAAAAATTCTAAAATCATTGAGTCTGCTCTGGTGGAAATGATCCTATTAGTGGTTAAATAGAATCTGTTGTGAGAAATGACATAGAGTGAGTGTTAACCAGCAAATTTAATAAATAATGACTATTTATTAAAGCATAAAAGACAAAAAATAAGGCATACAATATGAAGTAGAAATATAGACAACTACTATGTGCATATATAATTTCTTAAATAACACGAGTGCTGTAAAATCAAATATTATTTACCTATCATAATAAAACATGCTTTCATTATGAATCAAGTTTCATATTATTTGATCTTTTTTATATTCATATAGTCAATTTTATTAAACATCTTGAAATTGGGAAGGTAAATATCAACCCAAGGAAACCTAGTGATTTTCTATAGAGTTACTGTCAGCTCGACTAGGCAATATCTAAAATGATTCTACCGACCTATACTCTATCACTCACAAGCATACAAATTTTTTATATGTATAATATATAAGAAATATGTTATTTCATGCAGGCTTGTAAAATGAAATGTAAGTTCATACAAGCTTAGAAATATAATATCATAATTGTAGGATCAACTAAAATATGTAGAAAATTTAGCAACAAAAATTTGAGGGAGCCGCTTACTTCATTATCAGCAATAAACAAAATAGGGCATGCAATATGACCTAGAAAAGAGAAGATTGATTATGTGTTTAAGAGAATTTGCAAGAATTATTGTATGCTTATGATCATGACTAAGAGTTACACGTGCATTTTTTTCTATAGATATCAGGTGTTTTGTTATAAATATGAATAATCAATCATTTCACACTACATGATAATATACAATTTCAATATATGCATATATATACATATAATTATATTTATATCTAGTCGGCTCACTATGATATCCTGAAACAAGGAAATGTAGGCACCAATCCCATGAAAATCCACTGATTTCTTTGAATGACCCGTCGGTCAAGCTAGTCATAACAAAAGGGTTTAATAACGACATAATAATATTATAACATTAATTATATTTCAAGAATTGCAATCACAACACAAGAAAATAACTACAAAGTGTCAACCAATATTTATAAGCAATTATGAAAACTAAAATAATGAGATTTACCACATCAAATATTTAAAGAAATACTAAATATTGAAGCCATGAAATGTGAACAGCTAAACTCGAGGTTAAGTAGGAATAAAAACAAGGCTAATTATTCATTAAATTCATTATGTGCAAAAATAGAAACATCTAAAATTATGTAAACAAGATTTAAAAGGTATGAATCACAATCCTTCAACTAATAAAGAACCTAATACAATTAACAAATGTAACATCTCTAACCAGGAAGAGTACATTTATCCATATTAAATAGCAGTTACTTACATTGATGCAACAAACGTAATATTTGTATGAATTTGACGGTTCGACTATTAATCTTACATCAATTAGAAAGTAAGATTAATCATACAGTTATTACTTAAGTATAATCTAATTAACGTTCATTATTAGGATTATTATTACAATCATTATTCTTCTTACTTCAGTATTATTATTATAATAATAATACTTATTATTATTAAAAGTAAGAATTTATGAATCAAATCAAACTTTAACTAGCAATTAAAAAATATCTTAGTTTTGATATACATTTGATAAGAATTAAAAATAGATTTCTGAAGAAATTTAATTAATAAAATTAACATATGCATAATAACATAATAACTATTAAAAACACATTTTAATCCTTCGTTTCTTAAATGACATTCCTCCTCTGCCATGATTCAGGATTCAGTAAAGCTGAACTGCGGAGGAAGGCAGGGGTTACCTCCCTCAATGGAGGAATTCAAATTTTCCCTTCTTGTTAATGTGCATTTAATTAGAAATATGATTAAGAAAATGATTAATTGCTAATGTGCCGTAATTATAGTGAAACAATTTTCTTTTTACTTTTAACCTAACTTAAAAATATGGCTAAATCTAATCGTAGAAATATGCCATTTAATTAGAGAATTTGCTTCATGTAAGCAATTTCTTAAGGAATTTGACTTAAATTAAGATATGCAAATATGTAAAGATAGAGTGTTGCCTAAGAGATGATAAACTAGAAACATCATGTCCTACATATAAATTTTTTTTTCATATCACATCAAACATATCGCTTTTAACTTCTAAGGATTGAGATGCACTCGTTCATCTTTATGTACAAACATCATAGCCTACATATAAAGATTAAAATTTGGATGTTAGATAGGTGAATACATGAAATTGTGTGGTATGTAGTAAATCTCCATATATTTTATTGTGTTTCCATTTATTATTAAAGAAACAATCATGTTCTGCTCCTCCTATGGTTTCATATATCAGTTGGTTGGGTTGTATCAATGTCCGCGACTATATGTTCATTGAGTTTAATCTTTCCTCTGAATGAATTTTTCACTCAGTTTACTCGAAGTTGTAATGTAAATGGTGAACCTTTTAAAACAACCACAAAATCCATTGAAATCTCTTCACATATTCATTCTGGAATGGGAAAGGGTTATAATAGACCACCAGATCTGATGTTTAGACGTAACCATCGGACTTGTCAAACAGTTGGCTACAAACTCAACTATGTCGCTTTTCATACTCGGTGACCAAAAAAAGCTCTTTGGATCTTGATGCATCTTATTATTTCCCAGATAAACATAATATAGAGTAGAATTTGTTTCACATTGTATCTCATACCTATGTTTTTTTCTTATTTGAACACACTCAATGCTAAAATCTCAAAGTATCATTTTGATTGATATTGAACTTAAGCTTCAATCCATTCTAAGCTTGTTCTCCAAGTAGTAGCAAGATTGTATCCCTCAACCGAGCTACAAAAATACCATTTACAAGTGTCAGCTAAACTAAAAATTGATATGTCAAGGGATTAACTCCTTTTGGTACCATCTCAAGCTAGAGTTGTTCCATCTATGGTGCTAAATCATTATCCCGAGTGATCATCCAAGATATGTTCATTGTGGATTTTTTAGCTTAATCCATCTACCACATTCACTTTTCTAGGATGGTAATGAATAATCATATTCCTTCATTAATTCAAGTCATCGCCTCTGTCACAAGCTCAATTTTTTTCCGAGTAAAAATATAATTCATGCCTTTATGATTGATGAAGACCCCACAACGAATGTTTGACTGTAAATTTACTGAAATAATAATTCTAAATAATTTTAAATTTACGATTGAATATTTCTTGCCCAAAAAGTGCCTCGAGATCTTTGTCAAATATCTCAAGATTCATGCCAAATGATGAAAATTTATTGAAGCCGTATCAAATACAAATAGAAAATAATTTTTTTTTAAAATGTTGACCAAAAAAACTCAAAATATGTAATTAGATCTTAGACAAATAAACTTCAACTCTAATCAATGAGCCACTTATCTTTTTGTAAGTAATTAATTTATTATTTTTATATTAACTTTCTCACAAATAAATTCAGGGAAATTTACACATAGCACACACAATTATTATATAAAATTTTCATAATACATGCTATTTTGGTGCTTTAAACCTATTTAAACCTATACATGTAAAGGTGTGTTTCACTTTTAAAAATGATAATAATGCTTTTTTTAATGTGACACGTAAGATATGCACACGATGTCTGTAAAAATTAGAGTTCAGGTGTGAGATATATAAATACAAAACAATTATGTTATGCATGTAAATGACGCATAAATTTAGCAGCATTCGCATACATTTATTTTAACTTTTAAAAAGTGAAATACAATTTCCATGCACAAATAAGATGCAAGAATGTAAAAATTGAAGTTTAGGTGTAATTACAAAGGAATTGAGTGCTTTGCATGTAGATCTCATAACCCTCTCTTTCATATAAGAGCTACTAATTTGTGAAATTATTTGCCAAACCTTCCTCTGAAATCTTGAATTCCCCCATGAAAAAATGCATTGCATATATAACTCTTCCATAGCATAATCACAATGTATAGAAAAACTAGATCCATATCAATCATATAACAACATCTATTTCACTCACACCAAATAAGAAGCCATAACACATCAACACAATTTTACCAAATAAAGCTTAAAATGAAAATAAATCAATTTCTCATGTAAAAGCCACAATGAATGTCAGATTAGAATAACAATTGCAAGATTATGATATATATCTGAAGGAGCTGATTAGTTTGGTTGGCTGCTTATTCCTCTCGTCTTACCCATGGCTTCTTGTTGGGAGGTGCTTTGCTTCTGGGCAAATGAAGCCTAGCATAGAGTGGTTTTGGTTCTCTTGTTGTCCTATCAAAGCCTCTCACACAAACAAAGCCTGGAAAAGACAAATATCAAATAAAAATATGCTGCAATACCTAAATAGAAGTTATGTTAGTGGCCTTTCCGCAAGAACCCACTGTGGGTGAAGGAAGCTTGTAAATGAGTCAAGTTGAGTTCGAGTCAGGGTTAATTAGAGCTCGAGTCCTCTATCTAATGTCTGGATTAAACTTGAGTTGAGCTTATAGAACAAAGCTCGAGCTTGATTCGTTCATTTATTCCCAAGCTCAGGCACAACTAGAGATTGTTGGACAAGATACGGTTGTTATTGCAAGAGCTTGTTGGATTAGATTTAATGAGACCGGCATGGATGACGTCACGGTCAGAGCTTTGTTGGCGAAAGCATCGATGGTGTTTAGCGGCATTTGGTGCAGAAAAGAAGTTTGTGAAACCAGTGCCTCAATTTAAAATTGGATTGACTAAAGCATAAAAAAATTTATGGGACTTCGGTTTTCTAATCGAGCTGGTTTGCGAGCCAACAAGTCGAATTAACTCGAGCTCAAACTCAAGCTCATAGAATATGCGAGCTATAATCCATGCTCAAGCTCATGCTCGTATATTCTATAAGTTTGAGCCAGCTCACAAGCCAGCTAAGTGAAAGTTATTGAAAGTTTGAACAAATTTAAATTAAAATTCATAAACAATATTAATGCAACGTGGAGTTAGATATTAAATGAAATAGTTAAATATTAAGTAACTTTAAATGAATTGAAGTTCAATGAAGTTAAATTTGAATTCCAATATGAAAGTAATGATATAAAGTTGTGATGACTAATTATACAATGAGATGGACCTAATTTTCAAAACCTAATTTTCAAAGTCAAAATTATGTCATGCGCCATGTGGCCTATGAAAGAATTCATCAAGTTTCTTAACAAAACAACTCCTAGTGAGATTTAAATTGATCACCGGTGGAAAAATAAAAAAAATAGAGTAGTTTCGAGAGATTTTGATAATGAGAGCGACAGGGATAGATTAAACAAAGAATGAAGTGAAAAAAAAAGTAAGAGAGAAAATTTGTTATGTGATTTAGGTAGGAAAGCAAAAAAGAGGGAGAGAACATGAGAAATAGATTAAGGAAAAAAAGCTAGAGGGAGGATTGGGTTGAACCTAAGGAAACAAGAAAATTAAAAAGAAAAAAAATTAGAGCCTTGGGAGAGGATTTGAGAGAGGGGAGAAAGAAGAGAATCATTTTAGCATGTGTTTGAATACCTTTTGAGAAGCAGTACTGAATGGGTTCTGTGGCAGTGAAACCTAATTTTAAAAAATTGCATGTCAGCAATAAACATGAATGAGAATTGAACTAAATAGAAAGATCCATCACTGCACCACCTCTAAATATTGCAGCTATTGACGTTCCGAAGTATACTGTCCTTCGTGGAAGATTCCATAGACAGCTTCGAGGAACTTGAATCGGGTTGCGACTAGAATCATGATCTGCAAAGACCTGCTGGGAAAGCCTTTTATACAGAACAATAAAGTGGAGGAGGTCCATTAATGTGGAAAATGGTCACAATTCAAGATGTTCTCATCATCAATTATTGCTTACCTCATTAGTTTGAAAATAAGTGCCATTAAGTGGAAATCTTCCTCTCATGGCAGTTCGACATGGTATCTATGCAAGATTAAACTTTCAATAAGTTGCCAAAATGGTATAAAAGAGAGCATAAGCTAGACTAATAAGATAGTTTGTAGAATTAATGTGAAAGGAACAAAAAAAGAAAAGGGGCATTAACCTACATACCACACAATTCTTATGTATTTACATATCTAACACCTAAACTTTGCTTTTTATATTTATAACACCCAAATTTTTCATATCATATAAAAAATGCTACCGTTTTAACTTCTAAAAAGTGAAATATTCCTTTACATGCATAGAGGTGGCATGTATGTAAAAATTGAAGTTTTGTGTTAGATATGTAAATACATAATAATTTAGTGGTATGTATGTAAATCTTCCAAAGAAAAAATGGCAGAAACCAAAAAAAAAATCACCTATAAACAGTAAATTTACTACAAAAAGCAGGCATGAATGAATATTTTGCCGGTTCAATAAATTTTTTTTTTTTTTGAATATGACTGTTATAGAAATATAAAGAGGTGCGCATTTCATCAATCAAATAAGAGAATTGTACGTAATGGAAAGATTTTTCAATTCATTATCACTTAATTCTGACCACCTGTACCCCGGAATCATCCGCAGATCAATAACTGGCAAAAAATTGCTAGATAAACAGATATTTCCAAAGTCATTGCTTGGTCCTACAAAGTTATGAATAACATCAATTAAATGACTTCATTTCAAAATTTCTCTTAGCCCCTCTTGCTAGTAAAATTTCATGGTTTTTAACAAACACTTAGAAAATCACCGATGCCAAAATTTTCTTGTTTTTACAAAAGATCAATCCAAGAACACGCCCTTAAAAAATTAATTCATGTAATTTACATCAAAAAGAAACACAGGAGTTGTTACCAAAAGTGTTCCTCTGACAGTTTGAGCCTCTAATTCTCTTCTACTATTACAAGCAAAGCATGTCTCTCTCTCACAGAGTAGTCCGGTCTCATGGATTTCGCAGCATGATTGTGGCGGCTCTATTGACTGCGCAGTTTCACCTGAAATTTAACACTAATAAGACTAAGAATTATTAAATTTAAAGCAGTTTTTTCATTCTTTTTTTCTTGCCTGGAGTCCATATGGCAAGGAGATATGGGGATGGATCATCAGGCTCTCTTTGATCCATCTGAAAGGCATTAAAATGATGGTTTTAATTGTATTGGTAGTAACACGTATTATATGCAAAAGAAGACGACAGGCTTGGATGCAATGGTCACGTTGTGGCTATTCTGATCAAATCACAGGTCAAACCAAGAAAATAGCCTCTTAAAGAAAGCAAAGGCTGTTGGCATCAACCCGGGACTAGACCGGCAGTTGATTGGACCCACTGATAGCACATAAATCTTATGTGGTTACATATCTCAAAACTAAACTTCATATTTACACGAATAGCACTCAATTCTTTAAAATCACATAAACAATAACTCTATTACCACTTTTTAAGACTGGAATACACCTTTTCATGCATAGGTTTAAAACACTAAAGTGTTATGTATGTAACGATGAAAGTTGACGTATAGGATAAGTAAATACATAAGAATTGTGTATAGGATATGTAAATACATAAGAATTGTGTGCTATGCATGTAAATTTTCCTTATTTTAAATAAAAATAAACATAGCTTACCCCCTCAAGAAGAAGATGTGAATCTGGAAGCTCATATCTGTGGAGTGAGACAGTCCAAATAAGTCCAAAAAAGAGACTTGTCAGGAAAGTAACTTTTTTTTTTTTTTTTGGGTACATACATACCACCCAATTACTATATTTTATGTATCTAACATCAAAGCTTTACTATTTACATTTACACCACCCAAATCTCTCTTAACGCATAAAAAATACCACAAGTTTTATTTTTAAAAAGTGAAATAAACCCTTTCATGCTTATGTAAGGTGGCATAAATAAATAAATAAATAAATATATA